ATTAATTGGGCAATAATGATAAGATTACAAATTAGAAATGCTTTGTCTACAGCCCAACAGAAAGAATAAAAAAAAAAGTGAAATGAAATCGATTTCACAGTAATAATTTGTTTCACTAATAGTGGTTGGGAAAAATACGGTTAAAAACCATTAAAATATGAATATTTCGGATTATGGATCACGTGTAATACAAATTTCAGTTAACATGTTTCAGAAAAGTTAAAAGATAGTAATTTATCACTAAACAGTGGATAACGTAAACTCTTAGTAATATGACCTACTGTAAAATATAAAGCCTTAGATTTCTAAAAAGTAAGCAGTAAGGATTATAACAGCGCATGTGTTAGAACCAAGGCATATTGAGATACAATATATGAATAATTTAAGAAGTTACTAAATAACAACTTTTAGGGTGTTATTAGTAAATTTTTCATTTACTAATAAACCCGCCGAACTATGTGATTCATTTATAAATCGGATTTCCTACTCTATATATGTAGAGATTAAGACATTTCAACTACATGAATCGAATATTAAATCTAAAGTATTCGTAAATAAATACTTTATTCTATTACAAGTAAAAGTAATAATCTTAGAAGTACTAAATAATAAAAGTTTATTTTTAAAAAACTGGATGCTCCACCATCCACCAATATCATCAACCAAGCACCGTACTCTCCTGATATGGTCTCGTGTGACTTTTTCCTCATCCCCGACTCAAATTGCCATTGCGAGGAACGCGTTTTGAGATCATAGAGGCCATAAGGTAAAAATCGTCACACGAAAATTTTTCGACTTCTTTGTATAGACGCCAAACAAAAACTAATTGTACGATATGCGTTAAACTTTTACAGTTTAACGATTGGATAAGCGCGGGAATTCAAAAATTAAAATTCTTGTTCTTTTTTGATCACAAGGTAAAGGACAACTATGCATACTATCAAATATTCGATCAATTTTTTTGTATGAAATGTGCAGTTGCACATTTACAATTTCTTTAGTGCTTTTTTTGAAACCAGATGTATCTACAACGGTTTTAATTGCAGCTACAACAGTTGTGCGGGGTGGTCCATAGCCCAACAAAAACAGGTATTTTGCTCTTATATTGCGAAAATAATGAGCAAATTTAGAATTAGAATCAATTAGTTATGCATACAATATTAAAAGTTTCGCTCATGTTGAAGGGCGTGGTACGTAGTTTTTCAACAGAAATATAATATATATAATTAGAATTACCATATAAGCAATATTTATAATAAATGTTTTTATATTATTACTAATTGAATTTTTTGTTAAAATGTATGAGGTTTATTGAAGGGCATATTTTGCATAATTATTCAGTAATTTCTGAGATCTGAAATATATACAAAACATAGACTGGGAACAACAAATTTTTGTGAACCTTTAACATTTGGGTATTAATGGAAAAAATTTTATGAAAAAACTTGGACACATTTTTTGGGTATTGCAGATTGCAGTGAGAAAGGCCATAAAAATATGGGGGATTTTTGCAAATCTTCAGTTTTAAAATTTTATTGTTAATAAAAGCTTTAAAATATATAAAAAATGATAATTCAATTAGTAGTTAAAAAATTATAAAGGCTAAATTTCGCTAAAAGTTTCTTAAATTGCAAACAAGTTACAACAATTTACAAAATATAAGTACTATTTACTGTTATCTATACAAATGTGAGATTCAGTTAAACTTTAAAAAAGAAATTTCGTATTTTCAGAAAATTCTAAAATTAATAAAATAAAATGGATTAAAAATAAAAAATCAGTTTTTTGATATTTTGGCAGATATTTATTGCTTTGATATTCTCATAAGTTCCTCTTCTTGATTTCTCAGTTGTTAAATGCACTTTTGTACATAAAAATATCAACAACTATAGTTCAAAGCGCACAAAATGACTTGATAGCAATGCAAATTTCTTTGGACTTATTAACTATGAAATGTTTGAAAACTCCAAACTCTCCCTCATGTTGAAGCTATAAAATTTAAAATTGAGTCACAACGAGTCCATGTGACACAGAAATAACTCAAATATGATTTCCCCGACTTCTGCGACTGATTTTTGTGAATTTGCCCTCACTCATTTTTGCCCTTCATTTTTAAAATTTTTTGAATGATCCACACTCTATGTTTATACACTCTTTGGTTTCATCGAAGTCTGTAAAAGTACTTAAATAGTAAACCATTTTTTTTAAATTGTGGTGGTACTGTTTTGATAATGTTTTGAAAGTAAAGTCTTTAAAGTAAAATTTTTTGTAATTGGATATTAATTTTTTCAATCAATAACACGACCGCAGGTTGTGAAACATTATCACTAAATATCACTATCATTACTCTCCGTAGACTAATCTTTGGTTTCCATATGTTGTCAGAAACTTGATGTGTATATTTGTTAAGAATAAAAGGTGCATGAATAATCAAACGGTAGTTTTGAAACGTATAGATGTTAAAACAAGATTATTAAGTGCAACAAGCCGAATACGAACGGCTCTCGAAGTAGATAAAACGTCAGGCAAAACGTGATAAACAGAGCTACTATAATATGCTAAGTGTAGCAGCCCAAGTTGCCTCAGAGAAGGGGGATCTTGAAGAGGTGTTCAATATAAGTCGGAATACAGCTGGTAAGAAAGACCAGTACAGCACCTGTTAAAACTGAAAATAGCTGCATTGTAACTAATGTCGTCGAACAAATGTCACTGTGGAAAAATTACTTCGAAAGAGCGCTGAATACAATACATGACAAAAACAATGAAAACAGTCAACAGTTACATGCGGTTAGACGACGCAATTCTGATAGATCCATAAAATGCAGACCACCCAGTATTGAAGAAATACACGAAGCAATTGTATCTCTAAAATCAGGTAAAGCATCGGGAAACGACAACATGCTTGCAGAAATATTTAAAATAATATTGGAAACAATATCTGGAAAGTTGCATCTCTTGTTTGTCGAAGTATGGAACACTAAATGTATTCCAAAGAAATCGAAAAAGGTTATTATGGTCATCCCTCTTAAAGTCGCCAATATTATTAAAAGCAGGTGTAAAGGAGCTACATGTAAAGTATTACACAATGGGGCGCTGAGCGATTCAATTCTAGTGGCTTTTTTCAACACGGCATCTAACGTTACTGCAAATAGAAGTGGTGATAGCAGGCAACCTTGCTTAACTCCGATCTGCGACAGAAAGGGCTCAATATTGCTGCCGCAATGTAGGACTCTAGCACTTGCCTCGCTGTACTGCATTTTGATGATGCTTCTGATTTTTTCGGGAACACCTACCGTTTTAAAACGCGAACCATATGGCACTGCGATTTATAGAGTCAAAGACTTTTTGTTGCAGTCCCTTTTATCACCCTTATAAAATTTGATAATCAGACTTTCTTTCTTTCTGATTTCGACAAAGAGCGGTCTGAGTGTGTTAGCTAGCACTAGAGATTTAGTTTTAAATACCTACTTTAGCGGCCAGATTATCTAGATTAACTATGGATTGCACAATTTCATCTCTGTCAGACGGACTCGTAGGGATGGATCTTAAAGACCGTGGGGGTGGGAATAGCGTTCTGTCTACGTTCGCTGACGTAACAGAACTGTGGTTAGATGCTTCTAGGAAGTGTTCAAGCCAGCGAATTAGTTGCTCATCGGCCGTAGTTAATACGCTATCATTCTTTTCCTTTATGGGGAGGTTATTTGAAACTTGTTTATTTGTGAGCTTTCGTGTGACATTAAACACTTTTCAAAATGTCTCATAGGCTTGCTGCTCCGTTTCAGCAACGAGGCTGTTTATAAAACTGTGCTTGTCGTTTCTGGTCTTTCGCTTAACATTCTTTACTAGCGATTGGTATAAGACTTGTGTCAAAGTTCTCTGCTCAACACTTATGGCATTAATTAATTGTGATTTAGCGAGGCGTCTTTCTGTAACAAGAGACCAAAATGCAGGTGTAAGCCATTTTTTATCTTCCCAACTAGCTGCTCTGATAACTTCTGCATTATCGCCAATCATGCGCTTAGTTATATTCCACAACTTGCTTATATCAGTGGTAGAGTTCACTTCAGCTTCTACTTAAGCTCTTTTGTTTTTAACGATTAAAATTTTTACAATAAAATTTAATACTACAGCGCCGCGAACGACAGATTTTCTAGCAACGGAACCACAACAGAACAAACACAATACGATTTCCTAATACAGTTCACACTTATGTATATTAAAAGGAAAACTCACTTGGTTAAAACGAAATGCTGACTACGAAAACAAATGTAAAAGGAGTTGCTAATTAATATTAAATTCATCAAGAAAACCAACTCACCGAAATCCACTCCGCAGCAACAGAACTGGTACACTTGAAAATCCTGAACTTACCATACATGATCATGATTTGATAATGCGCAAACAAATATATTTGAATAAAAGAGTGCTAGAGCTACCTTGAGTTATCGTTTTTTTTTATGTTTGGTTTTCTGGTATTTAAATAAAATAAAACACTTTAACCGTCACACATTTGAAACACATTTAATAAAATTAAAACGAAACGAAACAATAAAAAAAATGTTAAACTAAGAAAGCTTTTGTGCAAAGGTGTGGCACTAGATCAAAGCTTAGGCTTTGACTTCCAGTTTTCACATTATTTTGAAACGAGAATTCGCCATAAAGTTGGACTTTCGTTTTGCATTGCAGGGGAACATAAAACGAGCTTTATCAACGGTCAATGAACTTTAACGCATTTACGGAGAGCACCGTACTTGCCAGTAAAGTAAAAAGGTTTACTTTTTTAAGTAAAAATTTAAGTATTTATTTTTATACGTATTTTCTAAAATTTCTTTAAGTAACTCTGTTTTCACAAAGTAGTATTGCTAGCGACACAAATATTATTACTACATATTTTGCTTAAATACTGCGCAATAGTTACATTGGTACTCCATCATAATTTTAAACATATATCAAATTACTCGAAAGTATTAATCCTAATGTATAGGTTTTTTTGTTTTCAGATTTATAGAAGTGGATAAATTTATACTGTCCCCCAAAATTTTATTTGTCATAAAATCGACACCCTTTTAGCAAAATGAAAAAGTTTACATTTAAAGGAGTCTTAGATGGTTTTCGACAAAGTGTTCAGCCGCAACAAATTAAGCAGGAACAAGAAATACAGGAGCAACTGAAACCAGAACAATTTATGCTCAAAAAGGTAATTTTCATTGTATACAATAAGAACATATTCATTAATTTTACTTTTAGTCAATTTGTAAAAATTTTATCCATAACTTGACAAAAGAAAAAATATGTTGTAGCTGGCGTTTGTTTTATTTGGTAGTTGAATTGACCTATCATAAGACACACGCGGCTATTACATATTTTTAAAAGCTATATTTGTTTGATTATAAGCTCTTTCAAAATTATATAAATTATCAGTACTTAAAACATTATGTAAAACTATTTTATTATATATTACATCACTCAATAAGTCGTGTGACTGACACACAGATGGCGCTGCCATTTTCAAATCCAAATAACGTTTATGAAGTACCAACCTTCAAAAGACTATGTGTAAAACTTCATGACATTTCGATTAGTCAGAAAAAAAGTGGCAGCCATTTAAGTGAAGCTACTTTTGTTATTTTCAAAACAATGAATTCAAAATAATTTCGTGTGTTAATTTATCATTGCTTCTTGATTAAAAAAAATACTGTACAAGCTCAGCAATGATTTCAAAAGTGTTATCCGGACTCTGCTCCACCCAAAAGAACCATTTATTATTGGTTTGCTGAAGTTAATCGTGGTCGTACAGACACCGATGATGGTGAACGTTTTGATCGTCTAATTGAGGTGGTTACTGCATAAAAGATTAAAAAAGTCCAGAAATTGGTTATATTTCATCGTAAATTGAAATTGCGTAAGATAACTGATATCAGATGGCAGTGTGTTTACAATTCTGCATGAAGATTTGACTATGAGAAAGCTCTTTTCAAAGTGAGTGCTGCGTTTACTCACAGTCGATCAAAAACAACAACGTGTTGATGATTCAGAGCAGTGTTTGGCAATGTTTATACGTAATAAAATAGATTTTGTGCGTGGATGAAACATAGATCCATCACTTCATTCCGGAATCAAAACACTCATCATCTGAGCGGGCTGTAGCCAGTGAACCACGTTCGAAGCGTCCAAAGGCACAACAGTCAGCTGGGAAGGTGATGGCTTCAGTATTATGGGATGCACATGGTATAATCTTCATTGACTATTTCGAAAAAGGGAAAACCAATAATAGTAACTACTACACGGCATTACTGGAGCAAAAATTGTGAAAAAACGACCGCATATGGCGAAGAAAAAAATTTTGTTTCATCAAGACAATGCACCATGTCACAAATCAATAAAAACGATGCCAAAATTGCACGAATTACACTTTAAATTTCTTCCTCATCCACCGCATAGTCCAGATCTGGCCCCAACGACTACTGGTCTCAAAAAAATGCTCGCAGGTAAGAAATTCATCTCAAATCTCATCTTAAGAAGTAATTGCTGAAACTAAAGCCTATTTCGAGGTAAAAGACAAATCCTTCTACAAGCACGGCATCGAGAAGTTGAAGAACAGTTGGAATTATTGCGGTGCCCTAGAAGGAGATAATATTGATGAGTAAAATCGATTTTTGGCAGAAAAAATTTGTTTTTCTTAGTTAGTCACACGACTTATTGAATGTTGTGTTATATGAATCCAATAAATGATGGAGAGAATAATTATTTTTTATTTAACTTCTAAAAAAATCAATTGAATCAAATATTTAATATTTTCCATGGAATAAAATAAAATTTAAAATATTTACATTACAACACCTAATATAAATAGAATTAGATATACTGTACATCTGGTTTTTTTAATTATAAAGCGTATAAAATTAAAGAACACACGAAATAGTTCATTATTGAGTTGCCTGTTTAAAGTTTTAGTTATTAATTTTTAATACTTACTATAAATTTTATATGGTCAATCTATTTTATATGATTGAATTAAATTTATTATTAATTGAATTTTATATGATTTATTTAATTAATAATAAGAACCTGAAAATGTATTTAATTATTTGTATATTAAAATATAAAACGTAATTACATATTAAATAACATGGTGTTTATTAATATACTTCATGATATCATTGCTACTACATGGTATAGTACAGTCTTTATTACAGAACTTATTAATACCATTTACACTAACAGCAAGTATGGTTGAGCTACTGCTAGTGCTTACTCATCTCATAATAGACAAACCTCATATATTTAGATCAGTATAAAATTTCATCAAAAATAAAATTAATTATAATTTGAAAGATCTTGTGCATTGCATGCACACAAAATTTATCATATATTTTATGGAAAATATGCACAAAAACAAAGACTGTTAATCAACTTTAGAAATATTGCCTCATTGGAGTCATTTTTTGTTCTGCATATGTGTATTGTTTGTTTGTGACATTAGTTAGTTAAACAGCGTAAAATGTAAAAACAGAAATATACCCGTTAAGACATGTAATACACCTAAAAAATTATATGTTAATGTTAAAAAAATTATAAATTCTTATGCTATTGCAAAACCATAATTTTTATCCATTGAAATATAAATGCAGATGGTAATAATAATTACAGCAAAAAGCACAGTTCATAAGATCTATGCAGAACATGACTTGTTACGATATTAGTTCAGTAAGACTGATATGGATTATGTTCAGAAATAATATATGCCAACAACATTGCTGTTAATTTCCCATACATTGAACATATATATTTAAAATTAACAAATTGGCCTGCAGTGAGCAAACCTACAAGCTGTCATCAGCTGATGACATCAGTTTTTTGCTGCAAGTCGAAGAAGAGAGGCATACAATCGAAAAACGTGTTCAACATTGTCAATATTGCAAACATCGCCGGATTGAAAAACTTTGTCAAGAATTAAATAAAAATCATCGTAGAACCATTTCAAAAAATATAAACATAGAAATTGTATTTTAAATAAGATTTAAAAGCTTTGTGTTTACAAAATAAACTGTTTTATTTCTCCCTACAACATATACTTTTCTTTTTAAAATATTGTAGTGTCATACCAAACCATGAACACATGCATGGTCATCGCAGACATTCTGTATACCATATACAATATTTAAATTATTGCGTTGGAATATAAATATTTAATGTAACAATATATATCAGTTAATAATATTTATAATTTTTTTTTTTGCTTTTTATTGGCATTATAAATAAAATATAAAGCATCCAACCGCAATAATATATTATATCTGTATAATTCATTCCCTAATATTAAATATGCATCTATCAATGCATACGCAATATCTTTATTTAAAAACACAAGCAAAATACATGCAATATAAATACAAACAAAATTTTTTCTACTTCTTGTGCAAACGAAGCTACAACCACTACCTTAGAAAAAAGAGCACTAAAAAGACCACTACGTTCGGAAAAAGATTACTAAAAAGAGCACTACCTTCGTGAAAAGATCGTTAAAAAGAGCACTACCTTCGAGAAAAGAACACTAACTCTAAAAATAAACAGTTTGTGTTCGTGGACACAAACTTTAAAAAATTGATGATGTGTTTCGGTCATGAGCAGTACACTACGATACTGTACTGTTTGTTTTCGTTCACTAATTTTAATATCCGGTTCTTAGTTTTTTCACAGATAAAGAATTCCGGAGCTGTTCAAACGCAATCTTAGCTTTGTTTACTCTTCTTCTTCGTTCCCGTACGTTCCCAGGTTTCGGCAGATTTCGCAGCCGTAGAGCAGAACGCTCTTAACAATACTGTTAAATAACCCCAGCTTGGTGTGCCGGGAAAGTATTGAAGAGCTACAAACTTTATTTATTAACGAAAAGGCGGAGAATCCCTTGTTAATTCGGCTTTGGATGTCGACTGCCGCGCCACCGTTCGGCGATATTATACTTTCTAAGTATGTGAAGCTGCTGACGTTATCGATTTCTGTATCGTTCAGGTTGAATTTGCTGGTAGGGTCAGATTTGTTTATCTTCATTGCCTTTGTCTTTGCCGTGTTCACTATAAGGGCAACTTTTCGTGATTCGTGAACTAAGTCGTTGATTTTATCTTGCATATCGTTCTGTCCTGTCATGTTGAGAGAAAGCAAATGTCGTCAGCATGCTAGATACTTGAGGTGGTTTGAAAACCCCCAGCGTATACTCCGTCATGACTGGTCAATAGCTTTAGTAAGGACGTCGTCTAACACAATTAAAAACAAAATAGACGACATCAGACAGGGTTGTCGAACACCTGAAGTAGTGGCAAAGGGGGTTGACGCTTGCCAATTAAGGAGGACGACTGTTTTCCCATATGCTTTTCAGGAGAGGTTGAAACATTTTAGCGGTAGTCGAAAGACAAGCTTTTAACAGTTCCGCAGTCATACCATAAACGTCTGTCCCGCTTGCATGAAAGCTTCATTCGTTTCACTATCTCATTGTACGCGACTTGGGGTTCTGCTCTATTGTTTTAGCATTGTCAGATCTTTGCAGCTCTGCGGCATTCGAGGAGAGACCAGGTAGACTCTGACATCCACGACTTTCTGTTGCGGGAGCGATGACCCAAGACATCTTCAGCATTTGTAGGAAATGCTGATTTAATTGTCTGCCAAATTTGTCCAGTGTTGCCGGACACTTCTGGGCTTTGGAGCTGTTCAATTGAGGTACTAAGTTTGTAAACGAAGGTGCTTTTTACGTCTTCAGAATTTAGTTTCGAAATATCGTATTTAGGCAGTGAATTCAAAGTACGTCGGTGTCCAGCCATACACATTTTTAAACGAAGTGTCGTGGCTAGAAGATGATGAACTGACGCTATATCGGCGTTGCGCTCAAAGAGGTTGCTCCTCCACATTTTTCCTATACAGAAGTGGTCAATATGATTGTCAAGCTTGAATTTAAGGAGTTCCCGGGATAGTTGCTCCAATTTTCCTGGTTCGATTAGGGATCGAACATTCCAGACGCCGATCAAGGATTTTGATTTCATGGAGAGGAAGTTTTGGTCGTTTCGTGGTTGGTTGTTTAAAGTTGTTGTGGTTAAAGTTGTACCTAACGAATTAATTCTGTTCAAACGTGAGTTTCGCACCTCCAAATTCGTTGTGCATGCTGCCGAAGCAGGTGAATTCGCCCTATCAGTTCGGGTACCTCTTGGA